GTAGAGACGGGGTTTCACCATGTTGACCAGGATGGTCTCGATCTCTTGACCTCGTGATCCACCCGCCTCGGCCTCCCAAAGTGCGGGGATTACAGGCTTGAGCCACCGCGCCCGGCCAAGGCTGATCAGAATTTATTATGTACAGTCTTATTTGTAGAGGTTCGTGTGTTTTTGTTTACTCACTTATTCAACATAAGCTTCTTATGTTCTGGCACACTTCTAAATACTAGAAAGTTATAAAGTATAGTTGAGCAGATCAGTTATATTCATAAATAATTCAGTCTCTAGATTATCTTATATTTGGTTCTTTTCATGTTTGAGGATGCAAAAAATACATGTATACATGTAAATGGTTAAGAAAACATTTAAAAAAATTTTTCTTTTTCTATTAGCGTTTCTTAAGAGTGCTGAAAAACTATGAAAAGCTTCTGTAATGTAGTAATAACTGGATGTGGAGCATCTGTTTTTTATTTTGATTTTCTTGTGGTGGCATTTTTCCTTGAACACTTAAACTGTTCTACCATTTTTTTCCTACCCAAGTAGCTTGTGTGGTCAAAATATTACCAGACTAGTCTTCAGATACAACCTATTTTTTTTAAATTTGCATTTGAAAGTCTGAGACTGTGCGAAACACTGCAAATATTCCTATGGAGTTCTTTAGACAGCTTGCTTCTTCCATATGTGCTGCTGTTACTTTTATTTAGCAATAATATCAAAAACAAACAAAATTGGTTAAAATAAAACGTTAATGGCTGGGCACAGTGGCTCACGCCTATTATCCTGGTACTTTGGGAGGCTGAGGTGAGAGGACCACTTGAGGCCAGGAGTTTGAGACCAACCTGCACAACAGAGAGATCCCATCTTTACAAAAGTTAAAAAATTAGTGGAATTTACTTGTGGTCCTGGTTACTTGGGAAGCTGAGCCTGGGAAGTTGAGGTTTCAGTGAGCCATGATCGTGCCACTGCACTTACTTCAGACTGGGTGATAGAGCAAGACTGTCTCTCAAAAAAAAACAAAACAAAGAGCTAATCTATAGAACGTAGAGTCAGATTATCTAGTCTTGTTTTACTTTTGATAAACCTGAAGGTTCCAGAAGTGAAGTGATTTATCTGCCTAAGTTGCTAAAGTTGGGCAAAAGCAGAATCCAGGTCTTTTCACATCCATTATAGTGTTCACTGTATTGCACAGTATCATCCATGGGATGATTTGATTTGGTGATTGACACTTAAAAATTGGAGTGAATAGGAAATGAGAGATTACTTTGGATCTTTAGCTTAGGTACTGAATTTAAGATACTTCTTAATATTAAATTTCTGCAATGAAGATACAGTTTGAAAAAAATCGATACTGATCTATGTCAGTGTTACAGTGATCAGCAGGAATTATTTAGTTTGCTTAATTTTTAATCTGCTTTGATGAATGTCTTCTTAAACAAAAATGTCTTTGAGGTTATCTGGACCCAGTGATACTTCATGTATTACAGTGATGGAAATTTTATTAGGCTAGTGGTTAAATACCTCTGAGACCCAAATAGGTTCAATTATTTTATAAATTAGCTGTTGCTTGTTTTGCCTACTCTCAGACTTCTGGAATTTTTTAAAGTATGAAGGATTTCAGTTGTTGTATTAATATAAAAGCTGAGATAAATAACACAAAGATGAACTTTTTTTTTTTTTTGGAGGCAAAGTCTCTGTTGCCCAGGCTGGAGTGTAGTGGTACAGTCTCGGCTCACTGCAACTTCCACTTTCCAGGTTCAAGTGATTCTCATGTTTCAGCCTCCCAAATAGCTGGGATTACAGGCATGCGCCACCATGGCCTGCTAATTTTTGTGTTTT